GAAGTTTCAGGAGTTTTTGTCAGATCTGAGACCAAAGTTTCTTCCCCTCCTGCTGTGGTTGCTGTGGTAACGGGCCTTCCCTGCAGGTGACACTCTGGTTGGTCCCCATGAGGCCAGAGCAGCAGAACCGGCTGATCTGAATTTCCCCCTGAAGGGATCTAACCTCTGGTGTTTCCAGGTGGCCACAGTTCCTTCGGCTCAGTCACTGCGTCTCCTGGACTTCAGCTTCAGCGACTTCGAGCTGTCGGACGCTGAAACCACGCTGGCTACCATCCGCATGTTCATCGATCTCAACCTGATCCAGAACTTCCAAATGAAGTACACGGTAAGACCTGCCCGACCTTCTCCCATCACGTCTCCGACCGGGTTCTGAACCACTGCTGCCTCCGGGTTCCCTTTGCAGAACTTGTGCCAGTGGGTTCTGAGTGTTCGGAAGAACTACAGGAAGAATGTGGCCTACCACAACTGGAGGCACGCGCTGAACACGGCCCAGTGCATGTTCGCCTTGCTGAAGTCTGGACGCTTCCAGGTAGGATCTGATCCAGGTTCTGTTCGGCAGAACCTAATAATGGGTTTGGGTGTACCATAGAATATCTTTATCAGGTTCTAAAGTTTCCATACAGCTAATGGAGCTTCTGGTTCAGTCCGGGTCTGAAGGTTCGGGTGATGGTAAAGAGGCCTTCCAGGAGCTCATCATCAAATCATCTAAAACTTCCTGGTGGAAGATCTGATCTAAAGATTCACGTTTGAGAAGCTAGAAATCAATATTTTAGGCTGATCTGGAGGTAAATTTTAAATATTTACTAAAGTCTGCAGTTCTGTGACAGAACCAGAGCTAAACCCAAAACAAGAGATGATCCTGGAACAGGGAATCATTTAGGAGTAAGCTGACTAACATCTGTGAAAAGTTTCTGCTTCTTGTTTAACGACCGCTGCAGAAATGAGGAGGCAGCAGCAGGGATGACAGGAAGGATCTGTGATGGCGTTCCTCAGCTTCTCGCTCCATGGTCCACCACTGATGTCATGTCAGGGATGGTCCTTCCGCTCTGAGACTCGTTCAAGGCTGGTAGCAAGACTGGTTCCCTTCGGGTTCCAGGCTGGTTCCATTTTGGTTCCAGACTGGTTCTATTTTTGTACCATTCGGGTTCCAGGCTGGTTCCATTTTGGTTCCAGGCTAGGTTCCATTCTGGTTCTCTTTGGGTTCCAGGCTTGGTTCCATTCTGGTTCCAGACTGGTTCTATTTATGTTCCATTCGGGTTCCAGGCTGGTTCCGTTCTGGTTCCAGGCTTGGTTCCATTCTGGTTCTCTTGGGGTTCCAGACTGGTTCCATATTGGTTCCAGGCTGTTTCTATTTTGTTTCATTCTCGTTCCAGGTTTGGTTCCATGCTCAGTTCCATTCTGGTTCCAGGCTGGTTCTATTTCTGTTGCATTCTGGTTCCAGGCTGTTTCCATTCTGGTTCAGGCTGGTTCCATTCAGGTTCCATTTGGGTTAAATTCTGGTTCCATGCTTGGCTCCATTTGGGTTCCATTCAGGTTCTAGGCTGGTTCCAGGCTCAGTTCCATTCTGGTTCCAGGCCGGTTGCATTCTGGTTCCAGGCTGTTTCCATTCTGGTTCAGGCTGGTTCCATTCAGGTTCCATTTGGGTTAAATTCTGGTTCCATGCTTGGCTCCATTTGGGTTCCATTCAGGTTCTAGGCTGGTTCCAGCCTCAGTTCCATTCTGGGTTCAGGCTTGGTTCCATTTGGGTTCCATTCTGGTTCCAGGCTTGGTTCCATTTGGGTTCCA